GAGCAATCCAGTTGCGTTCGCAGGGATGTGTTCTCGGTAGTGTTCTCTCCCACTCACTTGAGATTATCTTTGAGAAACCCACTTGAAATACGCACATGCTCTACCCACAGGCTGTCACACAGCTTGCGCACTGCTAGCCGGGTGTGGGGCACGCCGCTTGGGATGGAAGATCCTCATTACGGGGGTCCTTTGAGGCCAACGTGCAGCGATCCGCTGTGCATGACAGTGGGGCGATGGGCTAATGCGCTCACTGGGGGACTCCCACGGTACAGATCGCAGGAAGCTTGAAAGTCTCGGCTTCCGCGCTACTGTGCCGGCTTGCGGTGTCAGAAGGGGAGGCTTCGAAGTTTGTTCTGAAACAAATGAGCTGCGTGAAGATGTCGGGAGGCTTGCTTGATCCTTTTGACTCCCTGACCAGCTCAGACAACATGTCACATGTCCACTGCGAAGGCTTAGCCACATCAGCATGGCACAGAATGGCGTTTCAGAGCAATCCAGTTGCGTTCGCAGGGGCGTGTTCTCGGTTGAGAAACCCGCTTGAAATACGCACATGCTCTACCCACAGGCTGTCACACAGCTTGCGCACTAGTAGCCGGGTGTGGGGCACACCGCTTGGGATGGAAGATCCTCATTACGGGGGTCCTCTGGGGCCAACGTGCAGCGATCCGCTGTGCATGACAGTGGGGCGATGGGCTAATGCGCTCACTGGGGGACTCCCACGGTACAGATCGCAGGAAGCTTGAAAGTCTCGGCTTCCGCGCTACTGTGCCGGCTTGCGGTGTCAGAAGGGGAGGCTTCGAAGTTTGTTCTGAAACAAATGAGCTGCGTGAAGATGTCAGGAGGCATGCTTGATCCTTTTGACTCCCTGACCAGCTCAGACAACATGTCACATGTCCACTGCGAAGGCTTAGCCACATCAGCATGGCACAGTGGCGTTTCAGAGCAATCCAGTTGCGTTCGCAGGGACGTGTTCTCGGTAGTGTTCTCTCCCACTCACTTGAGATTATCTTTGAGAAACCCGCTTGAAATACGCACATGCTCTACCCACAGGCTGTCACACAGCTTGCGCACTGCTAGCCGGGTGTGGGGCACACCGCTTGGGATGGAAGATCCTCATTACGGGGTCCTTTGGGGCCAACGTGCAGCGATCCGCTGTGCATGACAGTGGGGCGATGGGCTAATGCGCTCACTGGGGGACTCCCACGGTACAGATCGCAGGAAGCTTGAAAGTCTCGGCTTCAGCGCTACTGTGCCGGCTTGCGGTGTCAGAAGGGGAGGCTTCGAAGTTTGTTCTGAAACAAAGAGCTGCGTGAAGATGTCAAGAGGCTCGCCTACACGGGACTACTTCTTGTGTGGCTCAGAAGGCTTTCTATGATGACTTCGAATGACTTCGACATGATGGGCTGGGCGATCTTGCAGAAGTCGGTGGAAGTGTCCACATGTTCAAACAGAAACACACTTGTGCTACCCACAGTCAGGCAACACTTCTGCCCTGTTTGCCTAGTGCGGGGCAACCTGCAGCGAGCTGTGACAGTGTGGCGATCGGCTGATCCTCTCACTGGGGAACTCCTGTGCTTGGAAGCTTCTCGATTTTACGGACGTCCGGGAGGCTGACTGCGTACCTGCATATGTCACTGCATAATTTGAGTACCGCGCCTTCGCTGGTGCGCATGTTTTCTGCAACAGCTTCTGTCAAAGTCCACGAGGCTTGGATTTCTCTGAATCGGATCCTTTGAATCATGCAGCATGTAAAGGGCAGACGGCTGGTCATGCCGACGCGGCGAGCTTCGACACTTTCTGTGAGCTTCATGAGACATGATAAGTGATTTTGCAGCACAGCATCGATTGTTACCAAATGGCTCTGAACCTTGTTCTGTGGGGCCTGTTTTCTCGCAAACCTTGTTCCCGAAGCCAAAAAACCCCTAAACCAGGCCACTGGAAAGGGATACCAACTGAGGGCTTGGGCCAAAACATGCATAAACCCTAAACCCGCAGTTGTAGTGCCTGATGTAGTAGTACGTGGTGAGCCAAAGGATACTTGTTACAAGAACCAATGTGAAGCAGCACACCCGAACAACTGACGCCGAGACGTTTGTGCGTTAAACTGGATAAAACGGCCAGATCTCATAGTATTCCCGTATTTGTTGGACAGGAGGATGAGGAGGACACCGCGAAAACTGTTGGTTTCGGTATTGAAGTTGCAGACTTCGCGGCCGACAGTGTGATAGGCAATCAAAGCAGATGTCCAGGTGCAGCAGTATTGGAGCTATCCTTTTCCCCAAGCTGACAGCCTCGGAAAGTCCAGAGGCCCAGGAAACCTGAGGAGAGCATCCGACTATCCGAAACCTCGGAAAGTCAAAACCCTAAACCATTCTTGCCATGCCAGCTTCGTGCGAGTGTGTGAGTCGAAACCATACACGATGCTTGGTCCGAGTGTGAGTGTCCAAAAAACCTCAAGCCCACAAACCGAGAAGTGCCGAAGCCTTAAACCCCTCCTAAAGGACCCTTATAGATCCCTTAAGCCTTAAGAGGGACCCTTATAAGATCCCTTAAAAGGAACCCTCATCAGCTCCATTAAGAGGGGCCCTGGAAGATCCCTTGAAATGGAACCCTCATCAGCTCCCAAAAAAAGGGGGGTTTAGGGTTTAGGGTTTAGGGTTTAGGGTTTAGGGTTTAAGGATAATCTCCGCCCAGGTCGGCCCTTGCCTCGGCGCGCCGATCGGTGCCTTCCTGGCCGAGAAGCTGCTCTGGCGCAAGGTCGGCCCGGAGCTGCTTTGGGGGTTTCGGAAGGCTTTTTATAAGGGGGGAGTAGGAGTACTATAGAAGCCTTAGGGGAGTAGGAGTACTATAGAAGCCTTAGGGGAGTAGGAGTAATATAGAAGCCTTACATATATTATGACCTATATACTATTTTTTGGGGGCTCCTTGTTAGACACCCTGTTCCAATCATTCAGGCCCCTACAATAAGAGTAGGACCTATGTAGGAGTTTAGGGTTCAGAGCAGAGAGCTGGGATAGGCTAGATTAAGGGTCCACGGTGTAGGGTTTCCCGATGGCCGTAAGTGGTTCGCTCGTTGACAAATCTTTGCAGGCTGGGGCTTTGGATCCGCTTCGTAAACTTTGACAGATTTCACTTTCAGATATGCTCCAAGAACCCTCCCTGAGTTGGGTGGACAGGTTTTATCCGGGCATCCGACGGGGAAACCCATAAGCCGCCCCCGGAAATCCTCAACCCCGAAACGCCCAAGCCCCAACCCCGAGAACAAGAACCCTCAGAATGTGTTCGACCTTGAACTGTTCTGTTGGAGAGGTGGCGAAGTGAGTGCTGGCCTGAGGAAGACCAGACATCGATAGGGTTGCATTTCGTTTCGCCGCTTTGCTCCTTCTTGTTTTCCCGTATCTCCCTCTATCCCTCTCGGCCCTCAGTCGCTCTACACAAACACGCGTCACGTATGCAAAGTCTGCCGCTCACGAAACAGGCTGTGATCAGGGCAGAATGCACGGAAGCGTGCACATATCTTCGTGCAGGCTCATAATAACGACATACAGAACCTCGCCTGATGCTTGAAACGTTCCTTACCGCTTCGAGCTGACTGTTGGGATTTTGGAGTAAGATGGAGCTGTGGATGGCAACATGTATCAGACTGTAAGAATTACGGTCACGATCATGGTTCATGATTGTGGTATATTGTGGTAGTCCTGGTAGTCTTTGTGGCCATCTGGCCAGCATAATGGTGGTGGTGGCTGGTGGTGTCGGTGGCGGTGGTGCAGGCGGTGGCGGTGGTGGGGGCGGCGGCGGTGGCGGTGGTGGTGGTCGTCGTCGTGCCGTGGTCGTAGCTGTGGTTGTGGTCGCGGATGGTTTTGGTATGTTTTGGTAGTAGTCGTGTCGTATGATGAAGACGGAGTCAGACCAAGAAGTATCAGTGCCGTTATAAGGAGCTGAAGCAGGAGCAGCTGTCAGGAGTAGGAGTTTGAAGACTACTAGCAGCAGCAGTAGTAGTAGCAGTAGGCGTCGTGACCAGTAGTAGTGGTTGTCGTTCTCGTCGTCCTTGCAGCAGGAGTAGCCTACGACGAGTACGAGCAGTCGTAGTAGCAGAGGTGATGATAGTAGTAGTAGTAGTAGTAGTAGTAGTAGTAGTAGTACAGTAGTAGTAACACATTAACTAGAACCTTTTTGTTCCAAAATCTTGACGGTCTTGCAATCTTGCTCAGGCGGGGGTTGCCCCTGCCCCATTTGCTCGCCGACTAGTTTACCTTGTGGAGACCAAGATTGCAAGATTGCTTGTAATTTTGCCCCCCACCCCCCTTTTGCCCCACTTGCTCCACTTGCTCGCCGACTAGTTTACATTTTGGATACCAAGTTTACAAAATGGCCTGGCAATCTTGGTCGCAGTCTTGGTCTAAATGGTAAATTAGTCAGCGAGAGCAAGATTGCAAGATTGCGCGGCAATCTTGGCCAAATAAATGACAGTTCTAGTTTCACGGCACATAGCAGCAGTGGCAGTAGTAGTAGTAGTAGTAGTAGTAGTAGTAGTAGTCGTAGTCGTAGTAGTCGTAGTAGTAGTGGTAGTAGTAGTAGTAGTAGTAGTAGTAGTAGTAGTAGTAGTAGTCGTAGTAGTAGTGGTAGTAGTAGTAGTAGTAGTAGTAGTAGTAGTAGTAGCAATTAGTAGTCGTGTC